AAAATGCACATTCAAAATGCAAGTCAAAAATTGTAAGAATGATTGTTTTCGTGATTGCTAGCTCAAGTTCAAATATGGGTCATCTGGGGTGTAAAACTAGGTCACAAAGTCCAAACATGGAAAATCTTGTAAACAGAAAAGAACACATTAATCAGCCCAATTAACCTGGAAATTTGTAAGAAAGATTGTTCTCATGATTGCTAGCTCAAGATTTTAAATATTGGCAATCTAGGCCACACAGTCCAAATATAAAAAAGAAAAAAATGTTAACACTTTAGAGGTAATATTTCAACCAAATATCCTGAAAATTAGTCAGAAAAATTTGATTCTATGATTGCTTAAGCTCAAGCTTGAATCTGAGTTATCTGGAATGGAAAGGTAGGTCAAACAGTCAAAATAAGGAAAACCTTGTTAAAAACAATGCACTTTTCAGGTCCAAATATCCTGGAAATTTGTCAGAAAAACTAACAATATGTGTACTTTTGGGGTTGAAATCTAGGTCATAGAGCCCAAATATAAAAAAAACCTTAAACACTCATGGTTACATTTTTAGTCCAAGTATCAGACAGATCATTTCAGTGATTTCTATCTCATTAGTTTCAATATGGATCATCTAGAGAAACTTTATTCATAAGCAATCATACACAGGTGAGCAATATACATGTAGTGCCATCATGGCTCTCTTGTTTTTAGGATTTATAATTTTCAACAGATGAATGATAAGACTTATTAACATATGGGAAATAATTCTGAAATATAATTTGCCATAAAATACTGTAAGATTATTGGTGAATAGTAAAGAAGGTACATGTTTGTGTCAGGTAAAATAAATTTGATTGTTATTGAAGATGAAATATGTGAATAGAATTCATTTTATTTATTTCAGATTAATTAAGGATGTTTGATATTATCATAATTGTTAATTTTAAAAAAAAGAAAAATATTTGGAAGTTACAAAAGGTCGATGTTTTTACGCATTTCTAGAATAATGCATAGATTGAGAGACTCCCAAGGTCTCCCGCCATCACTAAAGCCTTCTTCCTCCAAACCAATCTGCCTTTTTACAATTGATTTCTTTTCTTGTATTGATAGCTTGACTTCTACTAATTTAGATTTTCATTTGTATATTTTCATAATTGTTGTTAATAGCAGGACTTTTTCAATAAGTATAAAAATTAGTTTGGTGTTATTTTTCATATTGTCATAATTGTTGTTTACCTGGACTATTTTAATAATCATAAGCTATGCAACCCTTCTCAACTTTCAGGTCACTTGAAACATCTGTCTTAAATGGTCATAAAAAAGCTCACTGACCAAGAACCTTAACTCTAGCATGATTTGTTGCTTAATTATGCCCTCTGTGCATTAAAGAATACCTTATTATATTTTTTCACAAGTACAACTTGTTTTTTTTAGATTATTCTATATTAAATTTTCGGTCACTGTCCATGCCACATAACTCTAGCATGATTTTAAGCTATGTGAGCTTTCTTATTCGTATACGTATACCCTGTTAGGTTTTGTAAGATTAATCTCTATGATACCTTATTGTATTTTCATATAACCGTAATTTAGTCAAGCACATTGTTGTAGCTCATCCAGATATAAGTGCGTATGTTTCTTGTAATGTACATTGTGTACTTGTATTTTGTTTATGTTTTTGTGTGTGTGTTTTTTTTTGTATATCATGTTTATATAAAGTGTAAATTTACGTCATTGATTGTTATATATATTTATTACTATGTTGGTTTTGTCAAGGCGTGGTTCATTAATATGCGATATGCTACTGAAAAATGTAGACAATGAATTTTACTAATTATGGTCTTAATTTGGGCATTTAGCAATGAGCTTCAAAGTACACTCTTATTTCTCTTTGACACAGCAAGGTGGTACATTAAAGGGACTCCACTGAGGTTTTTTGACATGATGGGACTGAAAATATTTGTTCCAGATAAAAGTACCATTTGATGTAGGTTTAGACCACTAATCTTTGCGCAAAATTTCAGATCATTCGCGCACTTAGTCTAGAATAATTATTCAAATTTTAAAAAAATGGCCCAAATTGAAAAGCGTTTAAACATTTTTCACTCAAATTGGGTTTAAGAAAAGCATAAAACTACGATTTTCAATTTATTTCAAAGTAAGTATATTTCTTAACTATATTTGCATATATTTCTGTTTAAAGTGTCCCAGCTCATTTATGTAAGAAATTCAAATGTTATGTTTTTAGGCTTTTAAACCTCAGTTTAGTCCCTTTAAGAACAATATAGCTACAAAACTATTTTACAACATTAGGTAGAGAATACTTATATATATCTAAAATGCATTTTTTTATCTTATGACATTTACCAAATGCTCTATATTTTAAGCACCTTTAAAGACATTAAACAACGTAAAATATAGCAGCGCTCTGTCATAAAAGTCAGCACTAGCGTTTAAAATAATAATCATTTTAAGAACACTAGTTCCATAATAAAAAATATCTGAAAACATAAATGCTGCTGTATCTTTATAAATTACCTCACAAAACATGATTTACGCAATTTTTCTCGATTATTTTTAGACGGACTTCTTCTTAAAATATGGCAGAGCTATGTGCTTAGAGTCATCCCAAATGTTTAAATATCATTTTTAAAAGACGAGTTCAATGATTAACAATATCTGTCAACATAAATGTAGATGTATATTTTTGTGACGTCATTTATGGGTCTCATAATGGTCCATAACCATTTTGGCTGTTTTGTGACCGAAACTGAATTAATTTAGATACTTTATAAAAGACAGTTTTCATGTGATGCGAGAGCGATCTAAAACATTAGCTCCCATTTGGTTCTTCACACCAGATATGACGTCATTAGCATGAGTGTCATCAAACACATTGTAGACATGTTTGATACATTATAAATAACTAATGTAACAATGGCAAGGAAAACTTCACCAAACACGTTCATATATCCACTAGTAGCACTGTTGTACAGCGTCCACCAGATATTTCCCCTAAAAACACCGAAAACGAAAGAAGAAAGCTTCATACCGAGTACACCCAAGGTAATGTTTTAACTTATTTCTTCATCATAAACTCATCGATTTTTCCAAACTAAACACTTTTGTGAACCTAAATGTTTCTGGTTTTAGAGCAATATTTGCTTTTTTCTACAAATTGAATACTTTGTGTTTTAACTTGGCGATAAAATGTAGCGTATTTGTTTACATTTGCGAACGAAAAAAAAATGTCTGGACAATACATATTTATATACAAATTTGTTCCATTTTATTAGATAACTGCAGTTAATTATGCTAAGAAATTATATGGTATATCAATATATTGTTAAAGCTATAGTGCGGTGGATGTTACATAACTCGATGTACAGGTCGGGCGATAAGACCATAGCAATTATCTCCCGTGCACAATAAATTAATGACAACAATGGTGTATGCAGTATGTGAAAATGTATGTAAAATTCACACTTTCGTTATCAACATGATTTAATTCAATATTAAATTGAGAAAGATTTTAATCTGTCAAATTATCTTCTTCACTAGTGATAGATCCAATCTAATATGTAAAGTCAGTACAATTTGATTTTTGTCACACGTAAAACTTATGTTGCATATATACTTTTGACAGTCACACATACGACGAAAATGTGAATTACTATAAGCATGTACATCATTAGTAAATGTATGTTTTCATTTCCTATGTAAAATGTGCTACTGTAATGCATGTATGAGATCATGTCAATTTTGCACGTTTGCCATATTATATGTTTTGCATATTGTACCACATGGGTCTATGACCTTCTGGGAAAAGATAAATAAACTTGTTAAAACTTGTTGTTATCTTAGGCCCTTTTGGTGGTTTATACTCATTTGCCATAAAATTATCTCACGTGGCTTATTATCACAGGGGCAGCGAGTTGTAGACCCTGTGAATCATATGTAATCTCTTCACACTTCTGGAAATTTAGATTATATATGGTTCCATCCTGAAAAAGATTTGTGTAAAAATGTGTAAATTTAATTAAGAGTAGAGGTATTGTTATAGTCCTGGCGGCGTTGCTGTTGCCGTTGCCGTCCGCTAACTTGTACCTGGATCATAACTTTTTTAGTTCTTGGTGTATTTTCTTTATACTTGGTCACAACAACCCTTTGAAAAAGACCTTTCAGTAGACACACTAACCTTGACCTTCATCCATAAATGACATTGACCTTCAAGGTCAAAAGTCCAAATTTTGCTTGTTCTTGCTATTATTATTGCTGTTACTGTTATTTTTGAATGGATTGTCTTTATACTTGAGCATAATAATTTTCAAGGATAGCCCTTTAAGATAAAAGACAGACATTGACCTTCACTCATAAATGACCTTGACTTTGAAGGTCAAATTATTGAAATTTATATTTTTTTTGCTTTTATTGGCTGTAACTTTGTTTTTTTTTAATGGATTGTCTTCAAACTTGAACATAATAACCTCCAAGGATAGCCCTTTAAGATAACCAGACAGACATTGGCCTTCACTCATAAATTACATTGACTTTGAAGGTCAAATTATTGACAATTTCATATTTTTGGCTATTATTGGCTGTAACTTTGTTATTTTTAAATGGATTTTCTTCAAACTTGAACATAAAAATCTTCAAGGATAGCCCTTCAAAAGAACAAGACAGACCTTGACCTTCACTCATAAATGACCTTGACTTTGAAGGACAAATTACTGAAATTTTCATTTTTGGGGCTGTAACTGGCTGTAACTTTGCTGTTATTGAATGGATTGACTTCAAATTATAACCGAACATTTTTAAGGACAAGACCTTCATGTTAATCAAACTCAAATAGACACACCGATTAAATTTATAAAAACGGAAACGTTAAGATTTGTTCAAATGTTTCTTGTTTGCTTTTAAAAAAGTAAAAAGTCGAAAGTCGTCCCCGCCCGGCGGTGGCTCTTGTTGTATTCAAGATAATTTTAAAAGAAATTATTACATGCTTTTAGGTGGTTTATAGAAATTTATTTTATGCTTTTCAGTGGATTACTGATTTATCCGTGAAAATTATATTTGATAATTTCACAGTGAAAATTATCAAAATATAATTTCACTTTTTTCAATGACAAAACTACTTTTTTAAGATTTTCCCCATGTGGTACCTCAATTTTATTTTTACTGACAATTCTGACAATATCAGGCTGTTAAAAAAATAGCAAAGCTGAAATAGATAAATAACTTAAATGTCAAAAGTAATAAAGAGAGAAAACTTACTTCTATTCCTTCAAATTCCAATCACAAAATTTCGTCTCTAGATTTTTTTTGTTTCGTTTTTACTGTCTGAAAAATACATTCCTTCCCCATGCTAAACTGCTCTTGATGACATTTGGGCATATTAAAGTATCCTACGAGCAATAACTGCCGTATGCTTTATGAAAAAAATTGAAAAGCATTGACAGCCATCACTCGTAAAATAAGTAAAACAACCCAGCGTTCTTTACAATGCCTTAGCAAGCTTCCAAGTTTTCCATTTTCCTAGCTCCTTTTCTGAATGTTTTCACTTCTGTCAACACTTATTTTTTGTCTGTTACATTCCTCAAATAAGTTTTCTTTCTTTTAAAAAGGTGTATGACTAACAAATCCAAATTATATCCTTCGGAATCTTACACAATTATTTTCCTCCCATTAAATACACAACTTTAAAATATGGCTGCCGCTTACAGTTTACAAAGCCAGGTCTAATATAAATTCGCAGTAAGTAACAGAAATATGGATGGATGGTTGGACTTTTTCTCCTACAAGAATTGTTTGTTTTTATTATTAAAACAAGCGATCATTCATATTTTTTTAATAAAATGAATAAATATCACGTTTTTAATGAGAAATTCCCTCTGAATGGGGCTCTCAATGGGGGAAACAGTTTTAATATTAACGTTAAAATTATGGAAATTTCGTTTTAACTTGTTTTAAAGCATAAAATAAAAAGAAAATTTGTCTGTTTGTTGTGTAAGATGTAATTTTATTTCATCTCGTAAACTTTAAAAACAGTATTCTCACTCGTGGCTACGCCAGTCGTGAGAATACTGTTTTTAAAGCCCACTCGATGAAATAAAATTTCATCTTACACACAAACAAACAAATATCCTCTATATATCAGTGATATAAAACTGGTAATTTCACTGTTTGAAACAGTGAAATTAACACTTTGTTAATTTCACTGTTTTGAATTTAAGCCCCTTACGTTGTTTCAGTGAAATACCAGCGTGCACAGTATTGGGTACCCACTTAATGACGTGACGTCGTAAATGACGTCACGTTGTATTATTATTTGGCGCGCTTTTCATTCAGTATTAGGTTAAATGTCTATTTAAAACGTTTCTTTGCATGTTATAAAAAGAAAATTTGTTTAGTTTAGTGTAAGATTGAAATATATTTCACCTTGTGGACACCAAAAGTTCATATTTCACTCGTGGCTGCGCCACTCGTGAAATATTCCTTTTGGTGCTCACTCGGTGAAATATATTCCGATCTTACACTGAACTAAACAAATATCCTCTATGTGATTTAATTAGTATCAAATTAAGCATATTAAAGATAAAAAGAAAATATATTTGTCTTTCGTGTAAGATATAATTTCATTTCATTTTACACAAAAACAAACAAGTATCCTTGGTTTCAGAATGGTTCAGTCTTAAAGTAACCATTTTGTCACTTATATTCTTGTCCTTTTTCTTTCACTTACACTTCTGTAAAAAAATTCTTGATGACCTTTGCCCCATGACAACCGTATATTTTGACCTGTACACCGTCTGGCGTATCCTAATAGTATTCGTCACGTCTGAACTCGTTGTCGGCGCTTAGCAACCAAAACTGTAAAAAAAATATATAAAACAGGTAAAAATGTAAAGGCTGATTATAAAAGTGCTTTTTTAACGGTCTACAGTTTTTTGTATTATTGTTATCTTTTTATTACGAGATATAAGACTTATTCTTATGATTTTAAGGATGCTAAAATGAATATTTTAATGACATATTAAAACAAGAGCTGTCATTGAAAAGTGACATAATTATATGCCCCCGCATAAAATCCGAAATACATTGTATATACGGTTATATACCCTCGACCGCCTTTGATTAATTTAATTCCCAAATTTTAACTGATTAAAAGTGTAGGAGAAATAGTCAAAACAAATTTTACTACAGAAATCATAAAGGGCCCATTACTGCGGGGGGAAATGCACAAAATCATGGCACTAAGCAAGTACTTTTTAAATGTTCACTGAAATTTCCAATGAAGGATGGACATTTACAGAACAATCAATATATACTATGCACAACTAGGCTTGGTGACAAACAATCCTTAGCAGTTTCACTGAAATCCCCCAACGGTTTTGCTGAGGAAGCGCGGTCAAGCTTATTTACCCAAAATACGGCAATAAAGGGGCCATTACTTCAATAAATCAAGTGGAAAATAAAGATACTATGCAAAACTAGGCATGGTTACAAACAATCCTGTGAAGTCTCACTTTAATCACCCCAGTGGTTTTGGTGATGAAGCGCGGACAAGCATATTTTACCCAAAATATTACCATAAAGGGGCCATAACTGTGCAAAAAAATAAGCGGAAAATCAATGCACAACTGGCATGGTGACGAACAATCCTGTGAAGTTTCACTGAAATTCCCCTAGCAGTGTTGGAGATAAAGAGCGGACCAGATTATCGGACGAAAAGACATACGGACAACCGGACGGACAGTGCTATTACTATATCCTGCCCTTCGGAGGCATACAGAATACCGGAAAAATGATAATTATAAAGGTGCAAAAGACTAAAAATGACAGAAAAGCAAAGTAACAAAACACATATTCTATCATGACTTGATTAAGTGGAAACACGCTTACGGACCGGACAATGAAGAAGAAACCACTATGAACGTTAAGGTTGTCTTAGCAATATCGTAGCAAATCGGTTATTTCCTGAAAATCTTGGGCATTAGTTGTACTAAATTCAGCTTAAAAACGAATACCATAACGTTTCGGAAATGACCGATTTATTACGATATTGGCCGATGTTATATTTGTCGGCGGGGAAAGCCTTACTGTGAGACTATTCAATAGTGCAGTTATGTTTTATCTGAACAATATAATCTACTTTCTTACCTGGTCCCCACCTTGACCGTGACATGGGTAAACAGACACCGGCTGGCTTCTTCCGCCTTCTGTGTCAGTATTGGCGTCTGATCTTTATTCCGAATCTATAATTAGCACAGATATTTCACAATTTGTGAAACCTATTTCTTATTCCAGTTAAATCATCTAACTGTCGTTCAGATGTAAAGAAGCAGCACTTGAAATATGAATGCCGCTTATATTTTTACATTTCTGAAATTTATTGATAACTTTTTACAAATCTTTACATCAATTTAAACAGCACGATACTGAAATTAAGATTTAACATGTCTATGAATTATAGGGAGTTCCGTGTACCATCCGCAGAAGCACGAGAACTTATTTAAAGCCCGCCGAGCAATAGATGTAATAACACAGTATATAAACGATTTGTACCCCAACCGGATCTTGTGAGAAGATCTTAACATCAGTTCCGTAAAACAGGCGGGATGACCCATAAAATTCCTTTAGACGGATTGCATTAATCCGGAAGTCATGTAAATATTTGAATCATATTAAGAAATAGTTTATGTTTGCTTGTATATGCATCCATAACCTGCTTCAATAAATATATGCGCATAAATTCCTTCATATTTTGTTTTTGTCAACACACGCCGATTACACAAGCAAATTTTTGCCTAAAATTGTTTTACTTCACTATAACTCATATCTGAATCTTAACTTTATTGTATTTACTGTATTGTTTATTGTATTTTAAATTAGAGTTTTTAAGTAAAAAAACGTTTTTGTGTACAGATAAAACGTAAACAAAAAATAAAAAATAAACATTTAGAGGGCAATCGCATTGCAGAGCTCGCTAAAAGTAATCCGAAATCTTTTTGGAGAAACATTAATTTGCAATATAAAAAATGTCATCTGATCCGGTAAATGTACAGTTTCAAGATTTATTTGAACATTTCAACAAACTATATGGTGAACGACCCGAATTGAATGGAAATAGTTTTAATGAATATGAAAGTCAGGAAAAGTATATCCAAGATGAAGATTTGGATATTTAATTCACAGAATCGGAAGTTAGAAACGCAGTTTTTGCCCAGAATAATTCTAAAAGTCCAGGAATGGACAACCTTATAGCAGAAATATTTAAAACATCATTCGAACTTATTTCACTTTTTTTATTAAAACTTTACAATAAAATATTCCAACACGGATATCTTCCAAAAAACTGGACTGAAGGGCTAATTATACCCATATTTAAAGGCGGAAGTAAAGAAGTCAAAAATTTTAGAGGCATTACACTAAATAACATTTTGTCAAAAATATACACAAAACTCTTAGAAATAAGATTAACTTAATGGGCCAAAAAGCATGAAAAGTTAATAGACAATCAATACGGGTTTCAACAGAATAAATCCACTATCGACTGTATTTTTGTATTCTATTCACTTATTGCAAAAACTATATCAAATAAAGAAAAACTGTTCGTTGCTTTTCTCGACTGGGAAAAGATGTTTGATAGAATTGACCGTGTACTACTATGGCAAAAACTTTTTGATGCTTATGTAAGTTCTAAATTTATTGTTGCCTTAAGGTCTATGTATACCTCTGTTAAATCTTCCGTTCGTTATAACAATGTCAAGTCAACTCCAATAAATTCATACGTTGGAGTGAAACAAGGAGACCCGTCAAGCAGTTTCTTGTGTCTATTTTTCCTTAATGATATTTTGGAAGTACACGGAATAATTTAGACGGAATAATTAATCTTGGTGATATGCAAATGTTTCTATTATTGTTCGCAGATGACGCTGCGATTTTTTCTAAAAACCCTAAAACATTAAATCATTATTAAACGATATCGAATTATACTGTAATAATTACAATTTGAAACTTAATGTAAATAAAATAAAAATAATGATTTTTGAAAACGGTCGTCACACAAATTATAATTTTTACTAATCTAACACAAAAATCGAAGTTGTCAAATCCTTTAAATATCTAGGTGTACATCTATTCTAGAACGGACAGTGGAATAGAACGCAGGCACGTATAGCACAACATGCGTCTTTCGCTCTTCATAATTTGTTTATTATCTTTAATCAAGTAGATTTAACCGTTTGACAGCAAATAAAATTGTTTGATTCTCTCATATCATCAACTTTGAATTACACGGCGGAGGTATGGGGATCACACATCGCACCCGCTGTCGAAGTTATTCATTGTAAATTTTGTAGAATAATTTTAGGAACTAAATCATTTACAAACCGAGAAGCGTAATATGGCGAACTTGGTCGAACACCTCTGTATATTCAACGGAAAATAATTATGATTAAATATTGGATTAAGTTATTATCGCTTCTAGAAAGTACTAAACTTTTAAAACATATTCTATGTTAAGAATTGATGCTGACAATGGACAATCTTATAATGGTAAAAATTGGGCTTACGCTATTAAACTAATATTAGATGAATCTGGATTAATATTTGTATGGGAAAACCAATATAACATACAGGTAGATTTTTAAAGCAATTAAATTCAGAATTCTTAGTTTGTATTACGAAAAATGGTATACCTTGATAAATAATTCACCTCGTCTTGATACATACAGTTTATTTAAACATACTTTTGATTTAGAAAAATACTTAAGCGTAATTAAAGAACCAAAGTATAGAATAGCCTTATCTAGATTCAGAACATCGTCCCATAATTTAGCTATAGAATATGGAAGATATCGTAATATTCCAAGAAATGAACGTTTTTGTGAAAATTGCAAATTTAATCAAATAGTGGATGAATATCATTTTTTACTTATTTGCCCGAAGTTCTCCGATTTGAGAAAAAGGTATCTTAAACGGTATACTACACATTGCCGACTAAGCAAAAGTTTATCAATTTAATGTCTGGATCATCGTTAACTGTAATCAATGGTTTAAGCAAATTTATATATCATGCTAACACTTTAAGAAATTAATCCTATCAAAATTGATCTGTATTTTATTCATATGATTGTAAGGCTCTTCTGAAAAAATCCAAGTACTTGTGTTCGAGGGCTGTTCGGGAAGTTTAAGGACTTTTGCTGTAGTTTGATAAATAATAGGAATCGAAAAACAAGAAAACCACCATAAAATATTTAATTCTTTTACAGCCAGCTGTAAAAATTACTATGAAATACATCAAACAAAGCGTAAATTACGAATAAAACAAAACATACACCGAAGCATACCCGGAGCACGCTAACGTCACGTCAGTGCAAAATATGTTAACGTCAAATTTCCCCGATCGTCATATCGACTCACTTCTCGACACAGCGATGCATTTTCTATGCCTCTTGAGCCATTTGTTGTACGTGTCCTCGTACCAGATGTTGTCGAATGCCGAAACTATTCTCTGGGTTTCAATTTGTAAATCCAACCAGGAATAAAAGCGTCGACCACGCAGCTGTGCTTTGATTTCCGGAAAAACTCGGAAATCCATCGGCGCAAGGTCTGCATAGCTCAATCGGTTAGAGCGCGAGACTTGTAATCTCGACATTGTGGGTTCGATTCCCGGGCTGGCCAACTAAAATTACTAATCAGTCTTTCGGATGAGACTTTAAATCGAGGTCCCGTGTATGGGTGCTTAAACACTTGGCACGCTAAAGAACCAGGAGAAGCTTCTGGAATTGGGGCATCTTTCTGTATCTGTAATTGCACTATCCTCCAAAAATATAAAATGACTAATACTCTTCTGGGGGACTCGCCCATATGGGCAACCGGTGGCGAGTATAAATAAACGCAAATACACACACACACGCAAGGTCTGGGCTATAGGGTGGATGCATGAGCGTCTCGAATCCAAGGAGGCTGATTTAAATACTAGCGATCTACAGCATTTCTTTGTTGTACTAGATGCTTGAATCATTTTATACGTCTCCGTTGGTGTCTTTTCTATTCCTACACAAAACTTGATGATTGTCCTGACTTCAACGTCACCTATTGACGTCATTTTTCTCTTGATTTGTGTAAGCACCAGTGATGTTAAAACCATTGTTATTCAAACAATTGTAACGATTTACGAGTAGAATTTTCAGGAAATGACGTTGACGTTGTATTTAACGCTCGTGTTTTTTGGATTTAGCTCAATACAGGATTGGAGCATTACCTCTAGACGCTTGCAGAAATCATGTTCACAATATGAACTAATATCGTTTTTTTCGCCGATTCTTACATTTTTCATTCATTATCGTATATAAATCGGTGTGAAAAGATGAATTAGACGTTTTAAAGTTCATTCCGTAAGGTGAAAAGGCGAGATTTTAGCATTTAATCATTCAAGCGTCTTGTCCGGTATGTACCGGAATATGGTATTTAGTGTGGTGCTCCAATCCTTTTTTAGTCTCACTCGTGTTTTTTCGTGAGTTATCCATTGTAATTTAATAAAATTATAATCAATTAAATATATCGGTACCATTAACTTAATTTCGATAAAATCGGAGTGCTCCGGGTATGCGTTATGCGGTTCCTATAGAAACAAGTTTCGAGCGGTATTTGTCTATTCTTGTCTGTGAGAGTTGTACTACATATTGAGCACATATTTAAATTACATTTTGTGAAATATGGATAAAAACGCACCATTAAGGAAAAAAATACAGCAAAAGTTCTTAAACTTCCCAAACACCCCTCGTATATTTTGTACTTGCTATAAACATGTATTTGTTTAATGGAATAAAGTTTTGAAGTTGAATTTACCTCATGTTACAGGGCAGACACTTGTAAAGATATCTCTGAATATTGATTAAACATAGTCTGATAACTGTACCCGTCTTGCTAAAAATAAATCTTACAGTTTGCTTTCAAAAAACAAACGCAATTCTTGTGTTTGTTTTTTGTTTGTTTCCTTTGTCTGAAAGTGTCGCCCCGTTATAAAACATGTACTTTTGGCTGAAGATATTCTTCGGCATGTTCATTGGTGGTAGAACAAATGTAAATTTTTTGAAACTTCATTGAATTACACAGTAATGAAAAGCAACTATACCGCACAAATATTTCTAAAGAAGAATTGAACTCACTGCGTTCACTTTGCCAAGATGAAACTATCATTATTAAAAAAGTATAGATAAATCAAATATGATAGTTATAATGAACAAAATTGACTATATTCATGAAGTGGAACGCCAATTGAATAACAATACATATTACTCAAAATTAGACAATAAACCGTCACAGGAAATAGAACTTAATATTCAAAACTGTATAAACGAGATATCTGAATAAACAGTAACATAACTAGCGTATTTATCATGTTTCCAGACATCATAAGAACGCCCCAATTTTATATCTTGCCCAAAATTCATAAAGATTATAATGAAAGTCTACCCATAGGATATCCAGGCAGACTAATTGTTTCTGCATGCAGAAAATATTTAAAAATACCTTGACTTTATATTACAACCATATATGAAATCATTACCGTCGTATGTGAAAGATTACTCTGTTTTTTGCGTAAATTAAAATCTTTACCTAAACTTTCAAAAGATTCAGTACTTGTTACTTTGGATGTAACTTCACTGTATACAAATATCCCACACGAAGATCGGATAGCTGCTTGTAAATACTTTATTGATAATGAAAAATGTGGTAGTAAATTATCAACGGAGGAAATATGCACTCTTCTTAAATTAACACTTAAAAGTAATCATTTTCAATTTAATAATGAAAATTATTTACAAATTTTAGTTTAATGGGTAGTTCTATGGCCTCTACATACGCATCGCTATTCATGGGTAAATTAGAATCTGATTTTTAAACAACTATGACCTTAAACCTACGACTTGGCTCCGCTTTGTAGATGATATATTTATGATATGGGATCATTCTATAAGTGCCTTACATGATTTCATAAAAAATTAAATACATGTCATCCTACAATTAAATTTACATATAATATATCGAAAGAAAATGTGTCATTTCTTGATGTTAAGATTCTTAAAAATGAAAATTGTACATTATCAACGGAAATTCATATAAAACCTACAGATAAAAGCTACAGATGTCCATCAATATCTGGAGTATAACTCATGCCACCCTAATAAATGTAAAGAGGGTATACTATACAGCCAAGCTAAACGTTACAGACGTATCATTTCAGACAATGATAAATTTCATTGTCTGTATCGGCCTTTAAACAAGCTCTGAAATAACACCCTCCTTCTACTATATAGGTAATAGGGAGCTATTCAACACGCACGCCTTCGCATGCATTGTAGCTCACTAAAGGAACATCTTTACTCAAAAAAACATTATAGACTCAGCAGCGTGTGCTTGTGGCGGAGTTGAGGATACAGATCATTTTCTCTTACACTGTCCGATTTATACAAACCAAAGAGCGGATCTTCTCAGTAATATTTCACCAATTTACTCAGTTAATTTGGATATCCTTCTTTTTTGTTGGCAATGAATCCTTGGACAATGACACTAACTCATTCATTTTCACACAGATACAAAATTACATTTCTCACACAAGTACAAAATTACATTTTTCACACAGATACAAAATTACATTTCTCACACAGGTACAAAATTACATTTCTCACACAGGTACAAAATTACATTTCTCACACAGATACAAAATTATATTTCTCACACAGGTACAAAATTACATTTTTCACACAGGTACAAAATTACATTTCTCACACAGGTACAAAATTACATTTCTCACACAGGTACAAAATTACATTTCTCACACAGGTACAAAATTACATTTCTCACACAGGTACAAAATTACATTTCTCACACAGGTACAAAATTACATTTCTCACACAGGTACAAAATTACATTTCTCACACAGGTACAAAATTACATTTCTCACACAGGTACAAAATTACATTTCTCACACAGATACAAAATTACATTTCTCACACAGGTACAAAATTACATTTCTCACACAGGTACAAAATTACATTTCTCACACAGGTACAAAATTACATTTCTCACACAGGTACAAAATTACATTTCTCACACAGGTACAAAATTACATTTCTCACACAGGTACAAAATTACATTTCTCACACAGATACAAAATTACATTTCTCACACAGGTACAAAATTACATTTCTCACACAGGTACAAAATTACATTTCTCACACAGGTACAAAATTACATTTCTCACACAGGTACAAAATTATATTTCTCACACAGGTACAAAATTACATTTCTCACACAGGTACAAAATTACATTTCTCACACAGGTACAAAATTACATTTCTCACACAGGTACAAAATTACATTTCTCACACAGGTCGTTTCAAGTGATAAATATCCCACTCAGACATGGACTTGACCCCTGACCCTTTCATAAACTATTCTTTCTTTCTTCCCTAAGTTCTTTGTTAAATATTGATTTCTGAACTGTATACTCCCTTGACACTTTTAAGTTTCAATTACACTCTACCAACTCACAATTTATTTTTTATTTATATATCTTTTTTCTCTGTAGTTTTTTTCAAAAATGTTATTACATATTGATTATTACACCATCATGGGCAGCTTAGCACGATAGTCAGAAGCGAGGCTTAGCATAAAGCCTTTATTCTGATAGTTTACATGTTTAGTACACTTAATAATTTCTGTATACATTTTAGTTTAATTTTAATGTTAAATCGCTCATAATTATTCAGGTGTACTTTGTATGATATATTATGTAATCAATTTATTGAAAATAAATATTGTTTAAACCAAATTTCACGAATCTCTTATAAATTTAGAATCCTTTTTCAAGATCAGAAATTATCCTGATAGCAAGCTAACATCTGCTTTTGCAAAAGTAAAATATTCAACTCAAGAAGAAGCTCTGGAAAATAACCAAAATATAACAGAGCAGCAAAAAATCATACCATTTGTTATCCCATATAATCCGTCTCTTCCCCATCTTGGTCTTATAATAAATAAATACTGGGATCTTTTAATGTTGTCAGAAAATGACAGTGTTAAAAATTTACATAATCATAAACCAATCTTAGCATACAGCCGTCCCAAAAATCTTCAAGATTCCCTTACCCATTCAACTCTAAATAAACGGATTATGAACGGTAAAACTAATAAGTGTAATAGAAAAAGATGTACTCACTGTAATAATATTGAAGAAAATAGTAAATTCACAACTACAAATATTGGAGAAACATTCGAAATGCATTTTGATGGAAATTGTACTTCTAGTAACGTGATTTATTTAATTACTTGTAAAAAATGTAAAATACAATATGTCGGCCAGACCCATCAACAGGTATCAAAAAGAATGAACAGCTATAAATTTGATATAAGAAGTAATTGTCATCCCAATGAGGGACAGTAGTGAATAACCTCCCCTGAGTACTCCCTATAAATAGATAGGTCCTAAGCTATTGGATTACTCGGACTTTATCGCCTATTTCTTTGTAGCAAACTGAATTAATTAGGGCTAATTATGATCATTTGTAATATTCAGATTAGATATTGCGATAAGATGTAGAATCTGTTGACATAAATTAATCATTTTTTCCTTAAGGTTTACATATTTGTTGATGCATGAGTAAATAATTGATTAAGACATATCAACCTGTCTTATATACAACTCGACGATAAAAGAAAAGGATTCCAAATATTTTAGACTGGTCCCCTGCGAACTTGATAAAAACCGAGGTTAACCAAAATGTAAGTAGGTCCAAATATTAGTCCAAATATTAATCTGGTTCCCTGTCCTATTATGGTTCCCATCTTGGATGGGAACCATAATAGGACAGGGAACCAGATTAATATTTGGACCTAGGTTCCCTGTCCTATTATGGTTTCCATCTTGGATGGGAACCATAATAGGACAGGGAACCAGATTAATATTTGGACCTACTTACATTTTGGTTAACCTCGGTTTTTATCAAGGAAGATAATCCACTAATGTCCCCCATTTTTCTTCTAATGTTGCAATTCATTTCAATTCCGTAGATCATTCACTTGATGACTTTTCCTTTATGCCGATTGATAAAGTTCATGATAATATGGGGAGACTTTTGAAGGAGACATATTGAATACTTAAAGATTCTGTATGTTTTGTAATTGAGATTGCATACCACTCTTCATTGAATTATATATGTGTGTAATTATGCAAATTTGTCAATTTTCAAACATGGAAAAATATGTAAAATATGTATTGCAAATATTTGTACATATTTAAGGTAATCATTTAATTATATGCATTCATTTCTTATTGGAAAAATTGACTTAGAATTTATTGAAAACTAAATTCTAATTACCTCCCTTTATTTACATGAAATATTAAATTCGGTAATATCTTTATAAATAATGTTTTTTGAAACTTACAATATCGATAAATCTTAATTTGAGCATCATAATGTGTATATAAAACCATAAAAATAATGTGTTACAGGATGTTAGAAACATTTTCCCCGAAGGGTTTGAATGCATAAGTGCTTTACAAATAATAAGTTCGTTTTTCAAGTATATATACTTGCAATTTTTTACAAACTCGTCAATATCTTCTTTAGTACATATCGGCATAAAAAGACTGGTCTTTTCTTGACTAAAGACGTTACGAATACAAAACTAAACTAATTAATGCAATACCAGACGAGTAGTTTATTTAAGTAGCAGCCGGGTTACATCATACATTTAAAATACATGTAAAAGTGAAACATTAACAAACGAGATCTAAAAGTAAAAGATCTATGAATACATTTCTTAATTACAATACAAATATAACTGATAAAATGTCATCTTTATACATGTACATGTATATCTACTTGTTTTGATATTGCAAATGAAAATACCATATACCTGCGAAAAACATTTCAACGTATTTACCTAAACTTCCGTACAATTATTGAAACTTGTATCCGAAATTAAACATAAAGATTGAATGACGAACCGACTCGCCCAGGTAAAAAACAGAGGTAAAAACATTTTTTAAATGAAAATATCTCTGAAAACCCTGTGCCCATTTGTCAATGTCGGATCGTAAGAATGTCGGGCCTCATTCCTTGCAGGTATATGGTAAAGCATCATAAATGTAGCATTATATATATACAAATTATATTGTGCGTTACTCTTGCTTTAATATTTTTAACAAGGCAAACGTTTTTTATGAAGTAAAATACAACTTTTCATTTTCTTTTTTAACTAGTGCCTGATTAAAAGCCTGCTAAAATGTATGTATTGTAAGAAAAAGCTTACTGAAAGTATGTGAGAAAAAAAAGAAAAAATTTAGGGAAAAATCTACTTTTAATATTACACCACGATTAAAATAATATAAAATTGAAAGTGTACTTTGTTAGAAATCGTCTGGGTAGAAGTGAATAAAAATCTTTACACTCCGTATTTATAACCCTGATATAGATAGCCTACTCGAAAAAACACGATAATCTCGTGCACAACTGACCATTACCTCCAATACCGTAAACTATGTACGTTTCGAGAAGACAAATATTTCACGCTATACTACGAAACGCATGACATTAATAGTCTTTTCTTGACTAAAGACGTTACGAATACAAAACTAAACTAATTAATGCAATACCAGACGAGTAGTTTAGAAATACGAAAATAGCGGGCTGGAAAATGGAAAGTGCTTTACAAATGCAATGATTTTGTGACTAACAATCTTTTTTCTAAAGAATCACCAATGTATCCGTCTTTACTATTTTCACCCTTCCATCGACCGTGCCTTTTCCAGCAACGATCATTTATACCAGCGTTTGCGGCTGCAGTAGCACCACCCGCTCGAAGTGAATGAATACCTATGTTTAAATCTTGAACAACTTCTTTTAAACGCAAAATAAGACATTCTCTAGCTCGCGTGTAACTAAGTGGCTTATCTTTGAAAATAAGTCTACAAACGTTTTTTGACCGATAACATGGCTTAAATAAAAATGTATCATCTGTAACAGATAAACCTGCAACACGCATATAACGTTGTAACATTGTATATGGACAAGCTACAGACTCGCCTTTAGAAATAACAATACGGTCTCCATGGCGATATTGGTCAGTTTTACTTTTTCTTATACGAATAGAAATATGTGAATCATGAAAAATAACATCATTACACCTAAGGCTACCTAATTCATCAAACCTTAAAAAACCTGCAAACGCTATTAGAATCATAGCTAAATCACGTTACACAAGAATATCGTCACTTTGAATGTATTTATCACACAGCATTATTAAATTGTCTGTTGTCACAATATCCTTCCTTGTCTTAGGTTTTGTCAACAATCTTTTTGAAGCTTCAAGCAAATTTTTCACACACAAATTATCAGTAGGATCGTGTTAATGTCTCAAAGAATGAGCCCACTTTAAACTATAAACAACATTTGAAACAATAGAACTGGATGATTGTTTGTCAATTAATTCTGTAAGATACAGAGCAACATGAATTGGCTCAGCGGGTATTGCTACCCCGCCATTAGAAGTAATAAAATCCTCCCACTTTTTTAAAATACGAATAATACTTTGATACTGTGCTGTCACTCTTCGACTTAACCAACAGTAAAGACATCTTAGACGACAGTTCATTGAAACTTCCATGACGCAACCCACTTTCATGTACTTCTGCATCTATACACCTCCTCAAATTCAGGCCTGCAAAACTATAAAATATCAATGTACTACACGAATCTGACAGCAATTAAACCGAATCCTAAATTTCTGCCGTCAAAAATGCCATTTTTCCCCCGACCTCGCTTTGTCAGCTTTCCTGGAGAAAAAATAAAATGCTCAAAGACACTTCCGTTTGTCACTCCTCTTTCAGGGAAGAGAATAGGCCAAAATCGCGCCGACTTCCATATTGGGACTACAAGTGTGCATGTACATTTATCTGAAAATATTTTATCTAAACAATTGACAACTAATCTAGGTGGCGGTACAAGCCAAAAGTTTTCATTGACCCATTTATGTTCTAATGCATTAATGCCGGAAGTCCCTGGGCACCAGTACTTTGAGAAAAACTTATTACATTGTGTGTTGTAATTGCATGCAAACAAATCAAATGTATGAGGACCCCATTTTTTATCTAGTGTCTCAAACACGTGACTTTCATCGGACCAATCGTCACTATCAGTACATCTACTATAAAAATCTGCTTCCTTGTTATCATATCTTGGAACCCATTTCGGTACTATATTTATACTGTGTTGCGAACATGTATCGTGCACGTTAACCGCAATGTCGTGCAAATACTGCTTTTTACTACCATATGTCAAAATTGAAACTACATTTTTGTTGTCAGTATTTACAATAACATCTTGCCCTTCCAGGCTTTTAAATGAAGTATTTATAACTGTGTGTACAGCCTCTAGCTCTCTCCATGTTGAACTCATACCCGTTTCGGATTCAGACCAACAACCTATCACATGACTAGTTTCATCGCCTGCAATAAAACCTGCAAAGCCAGCTCCACTGGCGTCACAAAATATGACATTTTCAATATTTTTCACTTTGGCACTTCCAGCCTCTTTTTTAGAACAAATTTGTTTAATATTTTCAAATTTTCTTTCCAAAATACAATTTCATCAAATGCTCTTGCACTAATCATAACCGGGGCCTCCCAACTTGCCCAACTTACCACACAGTCATATAACGACCTGGTTCGTAATCGTACTTTCTGACCCACAGCAGTCATCATGGAAATCAACTGACCAACTAACCTGGCTACCATACGTACAGGAAATATTGTCTTCCCTTGACCAATTTCGTCAATGAATTTTTGCAACAAGAGCTCTGTACTAGATATGCGTTCGTCGGTTACTTTTAAATAACCGTTAAGAGTATCCCAAACATAACCTAACCATACTTACCTTTGACATGGAATCCAATGGCAGTTATCTTCCGCGAGTATGAAACCAAAATTTAATAAATCATTGTGCACATAATCTGACAATTTTATAGAACTTTCATACTTACTATCACCTGCAAAACCATCGTCTAAGAAAAGAATGATTCTGTATCCAAGGGAACGCCATTTAGTAACTAAAACTCTCAATACCTTCGTGAAAATTCCGAAAGGAAGCACGTTAAAAACGTAAAAAAGAAGCACATTATTTACTTCCCATGAAAACCCAAAATAAGTTCTGTGTTCAGGAGAGATCATTATAATTATGATGATATGCACTTCTTATATCAAAGGAAAAAATGTAATCTCCCTTTTCAAACATATTTTTTGCCACAGACTGGTCTTCAAAGCAACACTTGTACTTAAAAAGTTCTAAATTAATGTGACGACAATCTAAGACTAAACGTGCCTTACCAGATTTTCCATAAGCTACTGTAAGGGGATTTACAATATAAGGCTGCTCTTTCACCTCAGAAATACAACCTTTTTGTAGTAATGACTTAAATTCTTGACTTACAAATGAAGAATTATCCCTTGCTGATTTGTTGTTTAACAAGAAAACTGAATCTGGAATATTTCTGAAAGGTAATCTATACCCATTTTCTACTATTTGTAATACGTACTCATTTGCTCCAGCATCTTTCCAGTGATTTATACAAGATTTTAACTTGCCAACTGGCGTACTAATTTTTGAACTATTTTCGCATTCAGCGTTTTGCG